TATGATGCAATGTGTAATCCAGAATTTAAAGCCTACCTGCTATTTTTGAAATATGTTTTGGATTACATGAACAAATTCAATGCTCTCTTTCAAAGCAAATCTCCACTCATTCATTGCACTAAACCAGCACACCAGGGAGACGCGGAGCAGCTTTTCTCGCCCCGGAGGACGCGGGCGGCGGGACCGCGGCGCATCTGGGCGTCCCGCCGCTCCCGTCCTCCGGGGCGAGAAAAGCCCTGTTCGTAACTGTGGATCCGACATAAGTCGGATCTGCGTAACTCGGGGACTGCCTGTAATGAAAGTTCTGCTGCTTTGGTGGCAAAAGGCAGAGATTGTAATAAAACTAAGACAGGTTTTATTAGAGTTTTCTAGAGAATGATAAAAGACAGCTATTGTATATATTACACAGTTCTGAAGGGATGTCACAGCACTCTAGGATCTAATTTATTTTTCAAATGTAAACTTTCCTCAGATGACTAGAAATACTCTGTTCATGTTTGACGGTTTGTGTCATGATTCAGCAAATATTTGATTAGAACCTACCTTGACCATTTTGTTTTGTAGATTTCACTTGTAAAGCCATTGCATTTTTAATATGCTTCTGTAGATGTCATCTAGTAAAAGTGTAAATTAATAGGGAAAACAGTAAAAATAGTTTAAGATTAGTTCAACTAAAATTTTTAGGTGAGAAGAGCATTTTTCTACTTCTGCACAACAGTGAATTGTTTCTTGTAAGTTTTGAAGTGAAATAAATGAGTCCAACCCTAGAAGATTTAGAACAAACATTAAATTTGAATATTTAAACCAAATATGTATCTTTATCATAGGTAGCACTATCATCTTATAGTTAACTTTTCCTGTTGCTTTCCATGATAAGATGGTGTTTGGAGTTATCTATATCTTTGTCAAACTTTAACAATTTGGGGTAAAAATGTCAATGTTAGGTGTTTACTTCTCTCAGATTTTTGAAAATTTCAGCCAAAAAAAACCAAAAAAAACCCCACACAGTTGTTTCTGAGAATTAGAGGAAATTGCATTGTTTTCAAATGATAGAAATGAATTCTTATAACTGCTTTGTTGAGAAGCTCTAGTGTTTCCGTGCTTTGATCAAGGGCTTGAAATTTGGCGGGGGAGTCACTCTTGTAGTAGGGAAAACTGCATGTTTGGCCAAGTTAGCCCCCAAAAATGGATTACACGCAAGTGCAGTAGAGCTTTGTTAGTTTGTTACAGTCTCTGAAGATTCCATCTGTACTAAATATGCTACATTCCAGGACACCCTGCTGCAGTTGTCTGTACAACCATAATTCAGCCCCACTGTGTATAGACATTATGATAGTCTTTAAATACTTAATCACATAACATTTTTTCCCATGGGGTCCTTGTTTCATTCAGTATACTGTGTATTAGGTACATTATACCTTAATTCTAACATTTTCTAACTTTTGAGGGATTGACTGAAACGTTTAGTTTTCTTCTAAACATAGTATTGCATGCAATATATAAAATAGCTAAACGGCTGAACATCATTTCCTTTTGTCTGTTCTATTTTATGAGCTTTGAGAAATGTTATTCTGGTTAATCTGTTTGAATCCTTTGTAACTTGATTTTTGTCTCTTACTTTTTCATGGCCCCAAAGCGTTTTTCTTTGTCAGATATATTTGAGTACTGTGTGTTAATCATAATATCGGCCTAGTATTTTGGTCATTATTGGCTTTCTTGCATCCTTGCAGAGACTTGTTGCACTCTACCTGAAGAGAAGAAAGCCTTAAATGGTAAGTTTTCAAATGGTAAGAATTTGACACTTAAACTAATGAATATTCAAGGAACTTAATAGGAGAAGCAACCATTTATCTGGTCAACTTTGCATTATACATTTTGAAGTATGGTGTTTCTGCTGTAGGGACTGTTGGACAACTGTAAGAATTACAGTTGACAAAATCCTAAGTAGGATTTTTGATTTCAGCACTAAAAGATATTTTACCCTAGAGAAGTTTACTTTTCAGTTGGTACTTGGTTTTAAAATTCTGAGTGCCGCTATAAAAATACAGTCTGGAACTCTTCTTTTATATCATTTCAAAGTATTTGCTCCTGCCTACTTTGCTACTTGAATGATGCTTTCTCCTCTCATTCTTCCTCTCCTATTTACATGTTTTCTTTCATGCTGTTCCTTTGTGCTGAATGTTCTTTCTATCTTGGTTCTCCAAGGCCATCTAAAAGACACTTTCTTTTTTGCTTTGATTAGTATCTGTAAGAAGTCATAAAAAATAGAACTTCTGTATTTATTAAAGATATGTATATAAACATACATCTTATAACCTTAAACCTAGCTACTCTCTTCATGGATTTGCCCAGAATGCCATTATCACTTATACATTTTAGATTATACATTCTGTTTGGCGGGGAGCCTCTTTACAATGCTAAGTACCTTTTCAAAACCTAATAAATCATACTTCAATGGCAGAAGGGATTAGATGACACATTTTATTATACAGTGCAGTCTGACATCACAGTTCTTAAATGTCCCATGATTGCTATCCACAAAATTGTAATTGCTATACATTGTAATCTAAATAGAAGGTTAATTGTAATCTGCTCCTGGGTCTACCTTCTCTTTCTTTTTCTACTTCTTTATCACGTTGATCCACAATTTGCTTAGAGCTTCCTCTGAGCTGTGAAATTTGTTCAGTCTCACTATGACTGGAAATAGAAGTGGAGTCTTGGACCAAAGAACAAGTGAGTTTGATATCCCCAAATCCCCCTTCTCTTACCCAGATATTCAGAAAAAAACATGCTTCTCTGCAGCTCAACTTCTTAATGAGATCACCAATACATTAGCAAGAAATCATAAGCATAGTGTTTTGTTCGTTCAATTACCTTTCTGACTTGGAAGCAGAACATAGTCCAGGAACACTAGAAAATGATGGTTCTGAGCCCTAAAACCTCTGGAATAAATTTTAACTTGCAATTTTTGTAGTATTAGTGCTGATCATAGAAATGTAGGCTGGAAGGGATCGTGAGGAGATCACAAATTCCTGTGCTGGAGCAGGATGAAGTAAATTTAGAGTAGACCATTCCTGATCAATTTAACCTGTTGGTAAAAACTTCCAAAGATAGGGATTCTTCAACCTTACTTGGAAGCCTTTTTCTAGTACTTTACTTAACTCTATCCCTCTAGCAGATAAATCCATTTCTACTTCTCCTACATTCAGTAAACATGCAATACAATTCATGTTCAATAACTCTTAATATATTTGAAAATTGTTATCAGGTCTCCCCCCTTGTTCTTCTTTTCTCAAAACCATATGCCCAGTTGTTTAATCTTTCTTCATAGGCCACATTTTAAAAATCTTCTATCATTTTTGTTGCTGTCCTCTGGACTCTCTAGTTTGTCCACTTTTTTCCCTAAAGTATGCTATCGAAAATTGGACGCAGTACTTCAGATGAGGTTCACCACAGCCAAATAGAGAGGGGCAGTTACTTCTTGTAACTCTTCCATTAATGATCCTTTGCAGCTGGACCACATTGACTCTTATTCAGTTTGTAATGAGCTCTAAACCTCAGATTGTCTTCAGCAATTGTAGCACCTAGCCGTTTATTCTCCATTTGTACTTGTGAATTTGATTATATTATGTGAAGTACTTTGCACTCATCTTTACTAAATTTAATCTTGTGGATTTCAGAGTAATTTCTCTAATTGGTGAAGGTTGTTTTGAATTCTAATCCTGGTCTCCAAACTGCTTGCAATCCATATCAACTTTGAATCATTTGCACATTTTATAAGCATTTTCTCTTCTCCATTATCCAAGTCATTAATGAAAATATTGAATAGGAATGGAATCTTTTGCGACCCACTAGATGCACTTCCCATTTTGAAACCAATCCATTGGTATACTAATTTTTGAGTTTGGTTTTTCAACCAATTGTACACTTTCATTATAGTAATTTCATCTAGACCACATTTCCTGAAGTTTATTTGGAAACCCACAATTCTTATTCACAAAGCAGGAGAAGTAAGAATTGTGAGTTTTGAAATAAACCGTCAGTATCAATAGCTAACTTGTGGTGATTTATTTTTCTACTCCCTTCTTGCAGAATTACTTTCAAAGGTATGTTTTTCCCATTTTCTTTCATCGGTTTTGCCAAATGTTATCGGTCATTTATCTCCCCAGAATCATTTCGGGTTTCACTTTTATAACATTAACATTCCCTTTACCTTATTTTCTCTTTTACTCTTAAGTGCTTTTAGTTCGTGCTATTTCTTCTTTTCTTCTAAGCCCTGTGGTTTAGTACTGGAAAAGTGGTCATACATTCTTAGATGTTTAAGACCAGAAGGGAATTTTAGCGCATCTATGCCTTTTTAACAGAGGCATAGAATTCGACTCAGTTATGCTTTTAGTGTGCCCAATAACTTGTGCTTGACTAAAGACGACTATTTAGAAAGGCATCTAGTCTTGATTTGAAGACATCAGGAGTTGGAGAACCCACCTTTTCCCTTGGTAGTTTGTTGTAGTGATTTTTACCACCCATATTGGCAAAAATGTACTAGACTTAAATTTTCTTGTAATGGTTTTGTCCGTGTTTAATAATATGCTACATTCATATTGTAGTCTCCTTTAAAAGTTTTTAAAACATAGATAGGCACAATTAGGCCTTAGTCTTAGAAACTGTCATACAGCACTTACAGGACCATCATAAACAAATATGGGAAAAACAGCCTGGATGGAGCTACTGTAAGATGGGTGCAAAACCTGTTGGAAAACCATTCCAAGAGAGTTATCCATGGTTCACTGTCATGCTAGAAGAGCATAATGAGTGGAATCCCACAGAGATCAAATCCGGGTCTGTTTAATGTCTTCATAAATGATTGAGATAATGGCATAGAAAGCACACATAAAATTTGTGGATGATATTAAACAAGGAGGTGTTGCAAGTGCTTTGGTGGGTGGGATTAAATTTCAAAATGATCTGGACAAACTGGGGAAATGTTTGGAAGTAAATAGGATGAAATTCCATGATGACAAATGCAAAGTTCTCCATTTAGGAAGGAACAATCAGTTGCGCGCGCGCACACAAAATGGGAAATGACTGCCTAGGAAGGAGTACTGCCGAAAGAGATCTGGAGGTCATAGTGGACCTAAAGCTATATATGAGTCTACAGTGTAACACCTGCAAAAAAATGAAACATCATTTCATTTATTGGGTAAACAGTTAATCGTATACTCTTAACATCCTTAGTGTAGACATTCTTAAGACTTGGGATTCTGTGTTCAGAATAGGTTTGAATTAGATGCTGTTAAAACAAGTGAGGAGTGTTTGTTCTTTTCTAGTCCACCATATTATAAATTAATGACCATTAAAGATGAGATAATTAAATTGTTTTATGCCTTGTTTTTAATAGTACAATATACATTATGGTTGTGACAAGTTGAGTCTGAGAGGTCTCACCTGCTGTACTGATCAAGCCACTAAGCCCTCCTTCCTACCCTCTGGGGCTCCCCACTACCCTGTCCTGTTGGGCCAGAAACTGGTCTCCACCACCCAAGGCATAGAGTTGGGGTAATTGCCCCTCAGCAGTCCAACAGAGACACTGAACCAGCTGATTCATAGGGGAACTCTGCAATTGGACCATTGATAGCACCCAGGAATTCAACCCCCAAAAGCGATCAACCCCCCAAATAAATTCATATTACTGTGTGTAAAAGTTTTACACAGAGAAATCTCATAAGGTAAGCCCTCTTTATCAATGAGCTAGAATACTTATCCAGTGCTGCTCAGGTCCTTCAGGGCAGGAGGTTGAGGGTGTGGGGGATGCAGAATTAAGGACAGGAGTTTGGGGATGTGGGGGGGCTCTGGGCATGAGGCTGGGAGGTATGGGGGTGCAGGAGTCAGGATTGCAGCTCAGGGGGTGGAGATGTGAGGGGGTGTAAGAATCAGAATTGGGGGTGAGAAGGGTTGGTGGCTGCTCCAGCCTGGCTATAGTTGGGGTGCCCTTCTTAATTGGTTAACTGGCTAAATTTAACATTTAACTAATTAACCAATTAAAATGGGATTTTACATCCCTAATTAATTTATTTGCAGCCTGTTTTATTGTGATGCAGAACATTGGCTGGAATATAAGATTTATCAACAACTCTATTAGAAGGTGCTGTGGGACTTTAAGTAGGAAGTGGGAAAAGAGAGTAATCCTAGTTTTAGTGATCATGTTAGTGTTCTGTTTAATAGTTTATCAGCCTTCTTGTCCCATTTTGTTCATGGGCATATCAGGTTTGGGTGCAGTTGTATTCATCCATATTCTTTTCTGCCAGTGCCTGTTGCCAACTGTGAATTATTGTTACAGTCCTATCAGACCTCTCCGTTGACTTCACTAAGGCATTTGACTTCACTTATGCTATGTGTATTTCAGTACTCTTATGCCGGCCCATTGAAAACAATGACATTGCAGTACTTAAGTCAGTGTGACCAAGGATATTGCAGTCTGATGCAGTGGGGTTTGATAGAAATGGATAGGTAATTTAGTGCATGTGAAGTTCAGAGTTCCCAAGGAAAATTCTATTTTTACAAATAATTCTCAGTCATAAGATTGTCTTGTCAATAAAAACTGTGATTCATAAATTAATTTGAAATGTCAAGATAAACATGAAAACCAATGTTTCAGAGGAGTAGCCGAGTTAGTCTGTAACTGGAAGAACTTAAAAAACGACTATCAAACATGTAGATGGTGGTATAAGCTTCTGTGGGCAAAACCCACTTCTTCAGATGACTGAAGTATTAA